ATGTGAGAAGAAAAAATGTTAATGTCTGGCTTTGAAATTCATACCTAGAGCATTGGGACCAGCTACATCCATTTTTAATCCATTAGAACTAGAATCCCCACGAAAGTTCTAAATTGTTGCTTTATTGCAATGATGTCAGAGTATTTCCTGTCATATTTTTGTACCCCTGTGTTGGACCTGAGCTCTTTCTTTATGACTTCCATACCTTTCAGTCTCCTTTTTCTTTTTTCTTAGTGAAAATCTTGGTATCAGTGAGTTATATGGACCTCATCATGCCAAATAGTGTCTTGCAGAGCTTTAGAGTGGTTGTGTTTACACAGGCACAGGTGCTGCTTTACTGTATAGATGCTACTTTACTAGTTCCATCTGATGAGTTTGAATTTGTTGTTTTTTTAAGCAAAATTCCTTGTATATTAAACATAATGCAACAATTTCTTTCTCTATCAAAATTTGAAAAACCTACTCCTGATGACCTGGGGGAGGACACTTGTTTTAAGCAGTTTTAGCAGAAGGATAATTGAATTCAAATTGTATGCTTGCGCTAGAGAATAGAAGATTTCTGTCCAGAAGGCAGAGTGCTGCTTCTCATTGGTTGTATATGGACTTAGCTGAAGCTGGACAATATGATCTATCACTAAGTTACATCACTCTTGTGTTTTTAGGCGGATATTTGGAGCATGGGAGTACTGCTATATGCTCTGCTGTGTGGTTTTCTCCCCTTTGATGATGAAAATGTCATGGCTGTCTACAGGAAGATAATGGTATGTTCTGATTTAAGTAGAAAACCCTAAGAGTACCTTGCTAAGTGCTAATAGAGGCCTCTGCTTTTATAATGGCAGAGGCTGTTGGACTATGCCCCAGAATAAATATGCACATCTGGCTTTTGTTGCTTTTTGTTCCTTTTCCTATCAGTATTTGTGAATTTCACTTTCGTCTTCTCCATCTCTAACTTGGAGTCTAATATTTCTAAAATTTAGAGGAGAATCAAGGGTGCTCAAGGACCACTCTGGGAGAAAGCAACTGAGAGGTCGTTTATGCAGACTCAGGTTTTTTTGAGTGCATAACAGTCTGAGCGCTTTAAAATGCACGGTCAGTTCAGCAGATAATGTAGTATTTTTGATTTGAATGGAGTGGACACAAATAGCCTCATAGAAAATCTATAGGAAGCTCAGTTTGTGTTCTTGGAGAATACTTAAAAGGAAACAAAGACTAATTGACTCAAAGAGATCTTGTGAAGATACTGGTACCCAGATAACTTAGTATTAAAATATCACTTTCTTACTTGCTTATTAACATGCACGTGCAATTTCTCAGCGAAATGTCTATAAATGAGGATAGAATAAATTAGAGTTGAACTGCTTTTCCTTCTCTGTTTATGAACTGATGTGCATCTGCATGCTCTCACCGAACTATAGAAGATCCTTTATGATAAAAAGTATACCAAGATGTAGAATCTGGTGTATGATGTTATTACTAAGGTCTTTGTTTGCATAAAGGTTTGTCACTGGTGGAAACTTAAGAACCAAGAGCTTACATGTAGAACTGAGATGTTAAGAGCATCAGTGATTAATCCTTCATCACTTAGTCATTTGTTTAATGTGTGCAAGGGCTAGAAGTTGGACACAACTAAACATTTATTAGTAAAGCTTATATAGGTTGTTTAGGTGAACTGAGATTAAACTTTAAAACTGAATGCAGTTGAAAACTGGTAATCCCAATTATGGATTTTAAAGTGCATTTTCTACTTCCACTCTATTTATTTTAATTTTATGTGATTGTGAATTGAAAATTGATTCAAATTAGGACAGTATGTATTTTTGTGGAATTTAATTTCACACATTATAGATCTTGAAATTTGTTTTAATCTCAACTCAGAGCTATTGTTCCAAATCGGTGTATTTGGTCTGCTGCTTGAATCTAATTAGGATTATATCATATCACTCACATGCAGTATTTTTTTTTTCTGTGGAATGCTCTAAATCTCTGCATTTGGGTATACTTGAATATACCTCTACTTTTTGAGTGAATAATCAATTGCATGTAATTTATGTAAGAAAACTATTTATGGTGATTTTTCTGAGTCTGCTAGTTATTGTGAACTTTTAGTTTCCTGCCTTGCTTTCAGTTATTTAGGTGCTTATTTTGTTTTCTCTCAGCTGTGTTCTGTATCAATATATTAAAGCAGAACAGGTAATTAGCTGCTTGGACTAGCACAGAGGTGGTGTGGTATGTAAGCTTTGCCTAGTCTGGGAGTAAAGCTATGGTAAGGAACTGCACACTATTTCTAAAGAGCTCATTAAGAGTATCTACAAAGACAATTCACATTCTTTAACCTGTGATGTCAAAACAATACATACTCTATGGGGGTATCTAAATAGAAATATAATATCACAAGCTTTGTTATTGATGCAACTTTCTGTAGAAACAACTTTCATAAATTATGTCATGATAGCTGTTCACTGATTTCCTTCTGTTTTTACTGCAAAGTAAATGGATGGAAATGTCACAAAAGCTAAGTATCTGAAAACTGGCTTAGAAATGTTCTGTACAGAAATGCAAATTATCCTTACTAATACAGCTTTTTCTCAAATTTAACCTTAAGGTTAAATTTATTCAGATATTTTTATGGCTAAGTTTTAATGTGTCTACTGTTTTTTCTTTATTGACTGAATATGGGTGTTAGAGATGTAAATAACCTAATAATTCAGTTTAAACTAACTGTTCAAAGTATATTCTAAAACCACTTTCCCCTGCAGAGAGGAAAATACCATGTTCCAAAGTGGCTGTCTCCTAGCAGTACACTGCTACTTCACCAAATGCTGCAGGTAAACTTCTTTTAATAGATACAGCTTCTCTTCAAGTAAGATCCGTGAAATGATATTGGATGGCTAAAAATACTACTTTGACAAAATATTTTTAAAATACGCAGTTTGTGAACAAGTTTCATTCTTCCAGATGCCTGAAGATTAGGATTGCCTTCTGCTGGAAAATTGTGGCAAGAATTACTGCTGTATGGAAATGTAAACAAGATAATTCTCAAGCCGCCTGTATTCAGGAATTGGTTACTTTGCTATTTAGCAAGGAAAAAAACCTCTATATAGATGAAGCCAATGTACCAAATATGCTGTAGTTAATCAATATAATCAGTGCTAAATATCGCTGGAATATTTACAATCAAGTATATGTTCTGTAACCACTAAGGTATTTAACCTTTTTGGCAAAGTTACAAAACATTGATTTTCATTTTGGCTTTTACCAGCCCACAGATCTCTGACAAAAAAAATCAAATTATCTTCTCTGTTCCTCTCTGATTTAAGTAACAGCTTAATTCTTGCTTATCCGCTAGGTCGACCCAAAGAAGCGAATTACAGTTAAACATTTGTTAAGTCATCCTTGGCTTATGCAAGGTTATTCTGATCCTGTTCAGTGGCAAAGCAAATACCCGGTGAGTACCTCTGCCAAATTAATGCAGCAATATTTTATGTAAGCATTATTGTCTTACTGCTAGCACTCTCATGTGGATGTGTGATGCCAGCTCTCCAAAAATGATCTTTAGGATGCTCCTTTAACTTACTACTGTTGAAATTAATTTAAAATTATTTGACCTTTTTCTCTTTGGTGAAGGAATTTCAAAGTGTGTTTTTACTGTGTTCTGCAATTGCTGCTTAATTTGAAAAGTAACTGACTTATCATAATATGAAACATTTCCATGTAAGAATGCCACATAATTCTAATATTGCTAGGTCAGAACTTCATGTAAGGTGCAAAATGAAAATATTCTTCAGAGAATGTCATACACAGTTATGATTTGTCGTAATTCTAGCTCTTCTAGCAGATAGAGAGTTTGGATAAACTTTAAGCTCATTGCAAAAATGTTTGTCATATCTCCAACATTTTTGTTACTTAAGCTAGGGCAATATGAGCAAAACTAGCTGTCAGTAGTTGGTGCTAATTTGTGTCTACTTCACTCAGTGCCCAACTTTAACCATTGGGTGTCACTGTTTCCCTGTGTAAAGAACTGCTTTACTCTATGTGTAAGATAGTGCCAAGTGGCTCTCTCAAAACGTTTGTTACCTGCTAACTTTGAGTATATGAGTAGAGATGGAAGTTCAGCACTCTAGGAAAAAAAAAATTCTCATCTGCTTCCTCATGTGAATTTGAGACCTCTTACACAGGGCCAGATTGGTGTTGCAGAAGTGGGAAGACTTTTTCTTTCTGTTCTCTACCATATATAGAGATAACTGCCTAAAATGCAAGGTCGAGAGTGGCTGGTTCTTGACTCAACCCAGTGAATTTCATAACAGTGTCATGGTCAGATATAGATATAGAAAACAACTCAAAAGCCTCATGCTTCAATACAGATTATGCATGTTCTTGCAGCTGGGACACATTGATGAAGATTGTATAACAGAGCTGTCTGTGTTTCATAAACGGAGCAGAGAAAGTATATCAGAGTTAATAGCACAGGTAAGAAATACGGCAGTAGAATTAGTCTGCTATTGCAGTAAATTTAATGTTCACTTATTCATAAATATGAAATATATAGCCTTCCAGACATAAGGAGCCCTTGCAAAGCTTTAGAGTCTAATTGTAGCTTGTAACCCAAGTTCTGAAGTTCAGATTTATTTTTCTTCCTCCTTTAATTGTATTAAGCTTTACTGTTCCTGTTTCCCATGATGTTAAATTTTTTGTGATTATTTTAAAGTAAAAAGATGCTTGCAGGAATCTATAACTGAAAACAGATGTTATATGATGGGTTAACTGTGCTTTATAACAAACAGTAAATAAGAGTAAAAACATCAGAGCATCATCTAGACAGAATAAGTACTTTCAAGGGGAGTTTTTACTCACAGTTTAAAGAATCTCTTTAGTCACTCCTGAATACAAATGATAAGGTGAACTGATTTCGCATGCTGTACAAATGTTAATAATGGCCATCCTAGCCGTTTGTAACAGATTTAATGCGTGATAGGTCCTCTAGCTTTAAGATGAAAGTGAATTTTTCCACTTGAAATTGAATTTCAATTTATTTCTACATAATAGCAGAGGAGTAGTTCTTCACTTTGGAAAAAAATCATAGGTTTTTCCATCAGGCTTTAGTAGAGGCAAACTTTTAAAATTGCCTCTAGTAGTATAGGTTAGTCATTAGTGGACTTGATGCTTCTTGTTTTTTTTCAGTTGCAGAAAATAATTCAATTCTGCCTCCATGGGGGAGGTGTATGGCAGTGAAACTTTTATCCAAAATAAACCTGTGTACTTCAAGTGAACTGTAATATATTGCAAGACTGTCAAACATGGCAGTTATTTTTCTTGTGCAGGTTGAATTGCATAAGATCATGCAAAATGTTAGTGCTGTTTGGAAAATAAATTGTTTTTTGTCTTGGCCTGGCTGAATCTATTTCACTAAGAGTAGGAGCTTTGTTGTTTGTCGTTCTCATCAATAGAGAGATTTTGGCCGTAACATTAGTTCTCATTATGATTGTATCATGCGCTAATTTTCAAGCAGGATAGTCTATTTCTTGTCTTCCTTGTACAAGCAATCTTATATAAGAAATGCAGACCATGTAAAATTTCAGGAAAACATGACCAAAATTCTAATGTACTTTTCCAAACATAAATTTTTGTTTTGTTTGTTTTAGTGGAAATATGACCAGTTATCAGCAACATATCTCTTGCTTCAGTCCAAGAAGGCTCGTGGCAAGTGCATTCACCTAAGGCTTCCGTCTCTGATAGGCCACGCCAGTGCCACACAATTGGCAGGCCTGGAGGTAAGTTTTAGAGTCCAACAGGTTATAATACTGCTTGAACAAGCTCCACTTATTTGCTGACTACTTCACTAAACATCAGTAAAAGAATATGTGTGGAGTCAGCCAAAGTCTTGGTCATTAAACACTTCAGTCTCCTCATTAGAATGTTTTAGCAAGATGGGCAAATTAACATCTTTGCGATAACTGTCTGGAAGGATGTAGTGCATTATAACTGACTACCATACAGAATCTCCCCTTGGTTAATCATGGAAATAGATTAAAAATGCGTATCATCTGGGAGCCACAAACATTCCAAACATCCCTGTCAAAGGAAAGAGACTCATTTCTTAACTGTTTAATTTTGGAACATTTTAGAACATGATGCTCAACAAGAGTAAAGGAAACAAATTCCTAAAGGTTTTTCTGAATGTCTGTATTCTTCAATGGTTTCATGAATGTAATTAGATTTTACAGTAAATTCTGTTCCTGTGCTTTGGTAGTCCAAATAGAGTCCTTCAGAATTTGCCTTAAGTTGATAAGTTGTTTATAATACTCTATATACACCCCATATGTCTATATATACTCCTATATACACACCTATCTCTATATAAGAGCACATAAGCTATATGTGATGTCAGTGATAGTCATCTGTATTTGACAAACTTGAAACCATTCAATAAAGAAATTGCCATACTTCTAATTCATTACCTCTTTAACTGTAAACTTGTAAACTTACTGAGTAGCTATCAGGATATATTTTTTAAAATGGTATACAATCAAAATACTTTTCTAAGTCTGATTCAACTACATATAAATCATTTCACATCACTTACTAAACTGCTCTGAGGTATAAATTAGAATTCTAAGCTTGTCAGTACCATATAAAAGCATGAATTGTAACTGTTACTAAATACATATAATATACTAATCTTTTAAAACTCAGAAAACTTTAATGAAGAGCTTTTTTAGGTTCAGTGGAACTAATGCAGTGAAGTTATTTCACTTTTACTGGTGTCCCAGATTAATTAGATCGGGCAAAATGCTACCATTAACTTATACATTATACTTGGACGGATGATTATGATCATGCCTACAAAATGCAACAACACATTAGTCTTAGCAAGCAAGCTGTTTGGGCATTGTATTGCCTCTAAGTGGGTTTGCTTCCAAATGGCCAAGTTCTCTAGGTAGTACTGGGGTAGTGTCTAGAAAAGCAGAACTTCTAGCAAGCTTGACAGTTTAGTGGCTTAGCCTTACACTTATTTCAAGTAGTCTAAAGTGCAAGGATATCCCTCCCAAAAATAACCACAGCATGAATTTCTTCTTGAACACAGTAGCAGTGGAACAGGCAGTGGAACAGGATTTGAACTGCAAAGGGCTGTGGCAGTAGTTAACAGGTGACTGGTATGGGTTTTATAGTAAATCGTCAAATATATCTGGTAATGTGCTGGGAAACTTCCTACTTTCAATAGTACTGAAATATCTGATCACTGTGATATCTTTATCACTGGCCGAGGAACAGCACACAGACCATATGATAGCTTCCTAAACTGGCATTCTTTTCAGGTGAGGACTGAAAAGTTAATTGCATGCAGTTTCAGAGAAGTGGTAGAAAACATGTCCTCGAAGAGGTTCCTGAAATCAGCAAAAGTTGGTTAAAAACTGAGGATACTGCAATATTGTGATTCTGATGGTTGATACTTTCATTCTGTATACAATCTCTGCTGTTTTTGATATTGTGGTGTCTGACATCTATTTCCTATAGTCTGGCTATAACTTTGCTTCTTCCCCAGAACTGGAACAATATTTCCTATATCATCACTTCTCAGCAGTGGCAAGGGATGAACTGTAACAGCTTGTTCTATCTCCTGTTTTCCTATCCTCTATAATTTGGAATCATCAATGCTCCACTTCCATCGTATGACATTATCTGTGGAAAAATGTATCCCCTTTCTTCCTGAAAGAATCTTCCTGGTAGGCAGACAGGGTTATGAAGGAGATATATGACACTGATAGCTTCTAAAATGTCATCAGTTTCCTATGTAAAGTGTTTAATGGTAAAATTTTCCTTGATAAATAATAATTTTCCTGAAAGATTCAGATGAGTAGGAAAGACTGCTGATGGCCTGTCTTTATATGCCAAATTTTTGCCAAATCATAGCATAAAGATTTAGTTGCGATATGAGGTTATATTTTATTAGAATTTGAAAAAAATAATTTACTCAAACTACTATAGGATATGCACATTATTATATAATTTCTTTCTCCCCAAGAAAGACATAGCTGTATGCAAGTATACAGATTCCTAGTCCTGAGCCTAGTCCTAGTCCATATGGTTCAACTGAAAAGGTTCTGTTTCAAGGAATTTCCTCTTTCACTTCATAAAATCATTATTTTTTTTTTTCAGTAAATGGAAAGCTGGACAGCACATCTTTGTATTCTATCAGTATTGTTACAGATTCTATAACCGTGTTCTGAGATAATGTTTGCCTTTATCCATTGCCCTTTAGACTTTTTTTTTCTTGGGCTCTTTGCAATATACATGACACTAGTTAAGAGCTTGTGGCCTCAATTAAATCAAAAACAGGCATTTTATTGTAAGTTGCTTCTTGACACCTGATCAAAGAAGATATTTCAGAGATTAATTTCACATCTGTTCTTGATATACATGGCAACATCACAATGACAATACTAAAATTTTGTAATAAAGCCTAAGTGACTGACATAGGTACTTCTGTTAGCTGCTAGCCATAATCAGGAACTTGGAAAGAAATAAGACTTTGAAATTTTTCTCTTCATCTATAGCACCAGAATCTTAAGCCATGGCTTTTGTTGGCCTGAAAAGAACATGACAGATGTGTTAAACAGCAGTGATGTGCCTTATGTTTTTGGATCCATGGAGTTTTCTGATTCATCTTTGCTGCCTGAAGAATTCCTTTTGAGAAATTAAACCTAAATAGCCCAAGAGCAAAGCAGGTGCTCGCAGACTAATCCCCCTTTACATTTCAAAAAATATTGTATTCTCATTATGCATAATGTTTACATACATAAATTTGTGTTCTATACATAAATTCACCCAAGAAAGACAACTGCCTAAAGAAGTTTTCTAGATGTCATAACTGAGCCTAAATCGTAGCTTCCCTCTAGCTGCTGGTCATGGTTAATTTGATATGTACCTGCTTCCCTCTAGCTGCTGGTCATGGTTAATTTGATATGTACCTGGGCTTTGGTTTTGGTCTGCCTAGCAGCATATAAGGAGTGTGAAGGAGGCCAAGAGGACTTTAGACCTCACTGGAATGAATGAGGCATTATAAAAGAAAATCTCAGAGCTAGATTAGAGTGGACAGGTCTTTAAAGGTAAAGGGAAGAAGTTTAACCTCTGTAGTAGACAAGAAAATGCAATGAAGCAATTCATATTACACAGTTAGACCAAATGTAAATTCTTACTAAGTTCAGATGTCGGTGGGATATAGTCGTAAATATGGAAGCTGAAAAACGTAGAACAGAAAGAAATGTCAGTTGAGTTAGCAAGATGGTTTTTATCAAATTCTATGGAGAATCAGGAATATGGAAGTTCATTAGGAATATGGAAGTTCATTCTTTTTTTTAAAACTATATCCCTGTATGGTATAATATTTTTAAAAGCATTGTGTCTGATCTGCTTAGACTTCAGAATTTCCTTGTCAACAGCATCCCTGAGTGTGATCAGAATACAGCATAGTAAACCTTTTTGGTTATGTTTCTTGTAGCATTCAGAGCATGATGCTGAACTGGATGATATAGAATTCACACTGTCAACACCAGTGACAAGAAAAGTGGCATCGAAGAAACATGAAAACGAAGAGAATATTGTTATAGAATCTGCTGTAAAAAATGAAATATCCTTTGCACTTCCTGCTCCAAAGACTCCTTTTGTAAGGAGCGTGAATGAGAAGCAAGCACAGTCCATACCCACTGAGGGCAAGTGCCTGAAAGGTACCTCATATGTAGCAAAGCAATACTTAACAGCATGTGTGCAGGTTATGGCTTTTGTAAGGTAATAGATAAGTGCTGAATATTTTATGTTTTCAAACTCTTTAGGCAGGCTTTTTGTCCAAGAGCATACATTCACCAGTCTGTTTCTGTTAAGGTGCTCCAAGAAGCTTAGGCATGCCTCATGGCATGAAACTTCTACATTGGTTACAGAAGTCATCGCTGCTTACAGTACCACGTGTACAACCTCCCAGTGCACTCTAACATAGAATCAAGTGCTGCACTGCAAAAACTCCCTTTACTGTTTTCCTCTGTTCCATAAAGGCTTAGAAAAATACAGTGCATACTTTGTTGCTTTTCCTTTGTTGTTTTGTTGAAAGGAAATATAGGGATGCTTTTACTCCAGGTGGCATCTACTGCTTCTTGCTTGGATTTCTTACAGTAGCATATCAGCATTTTTACATTAACAGGCTAAAGACATGCATCTAAATAGTGTCAGCTCTTCTGATGAGTTACCAAAACCTTCTCTCCTTATAGTCTCTCTAGTACATTCTTGGTTGTTAACCCACTAACAAATCTCTGATAATGTAAGGTCTAACTCTTTCCTTCAAATAGCAAGTACTACTTACAAGTGGAGTACGTTTTGTTTCATATTGCAGGGGAAGTTGCTCAGAAACAGTGTGTCATTTTCAGTCATAATATCCATAGCAGAATACTGAAGCTAGAGTGGTGCAAAGGTTAGGGCTTCAGAATGGTTTGTTTTTTGTCTCAAAAAGGCATATGGTAACTTGTTAACAGTTTGCCCCCATACTGAGGTGAAACAGCAGAAGTAGGTATGTTTTCTGAAACTGATTGTTGGAGTAAACTTATAGGTCACTTAATTAGATATTTTCCTGATTATTAAGCAAATGAAAGCTAATACTGAAAGCTCTTTCCTTTGGGAAAGCTGGTAATACTTTGAGAGAAAATGATGCAGATATGCAGAGAAGATCTTGATAATCATTGTCTGAGGCTAGATGCAGTTCTGTAGTGAGCTGGAACCGCAAGGTGAAGATGTCAGTGTGGTTAGAACTTTTCCCTTATTTAGTATGCTGTATTAAAAATGGCTATAAAATTTGCACCCTTCATTTAAAGGATACCTTAATATAAACGACATGTTGCAGAATGCTAATATTTGACATAATGAACTGCTCAATATTTATCCTGGGACCAGTGGCAAAGCAGTTCCAGTCCTCTCCCCTTCACAAATTCTAATAGGGAACTGTACTGGTTGCTGTGTGGTTTCTCTTTTAGGGCCCAAGGGAAATCACTTTGAATTTTTCTTTGTATTATAGAGGAGTCTTGTGATTATATAAAAACCTATTTTCTCATTCTAAAGACTTAATGTCATGAGATATCCTTGCTAAAGAAAAGAAAATCATTCACTGCAGAGACATACCTCTTTTGCCTTGGATTCTTTCTTTCAGAGAGCCAGTTGACTACAGTCACCCCAATTAGAAAACTCACAAACGCAGCAAATAGAACTGAGATTCTTCCTGAAAAAAGGTAAAAGTCCAGTTATTTATGCACATATCTGATTTAAAACAGGAATACCTTAGTCCAGGTACAGACAAGGAAGCCTTGGTACAGCAGCAAGATGTATGTGCCATCCCTAATCCTGGTGAAAAACTTCCTAAAAGCTTTTTTTCTGCGCTCTCTAGAACATTGAAGGTAGAGGGAAGTTATCAAACTACATAACTGAATTATCTTCAGAATATATTTCTGTTTTCCGTAATTACAAATTTCTTCTTGTTTCAGCTCATAAGAGAGCTGCAGTTTTTATACACAATTCTGGGGCTAAATCTCAAATACCTTTTGAAAAGAAACTGTCATAACATGCTGTACTTACTTTGATTTTATTCATTCTGCTTGATCTGGTAAGCTTTTAGTGATTTATCTGAAAAAAATAAGTTAATCCTGAACACTGATTAAAGAAAATAATTTGTTCATGTAACAGGTGCCATTCAGTTGAAATAGACCTCAACCTAGTTGATGTGGATAGCAGCCAAAAGAAGAAAAGAGCCAAAATGTTTGGAAGCCTTGAAAAAGGTCTAGATAAAATGATCACAATGCTCACACCAAGCAAAAAGAAAAAATCCACTACAGACGGTCCAAGAAAAATGAAGGTATGGTTCCTAAAAAAAAAAAAAAAAAAAAAAAAAAAAAAGCCTTGGTTTTCTTTTGCATCCAGTCCAGTTTATTATTATTCTTCTGAGTAGCCATTTAAAGAGCAGTGCAGAAATGTAGAGAACCAAATGTTTTGGGGTTTTGTTTTGTTTTGTTTTTCCTTTGCTTCTCAATCTGTATTTGTCTCTTAAGTTTTTTTTTATAATTCTGTCTTTGCAGGTCTCCTTTTGTGACTTTCAGAAACTAGAAAAATATTTGCTGCATATTAGAGTTTGCATAGCCTTTCTCATTTTACCTATGGATGTCTGAAAGATGTGGACAATGTCCTTTATTAGACAAATTTTATATGCATTATTAAACAGAATTGGCTAAAAATATATATAAATTTTAGTATAAAGCTACTTTTTCTTCAGCACTGTGATGCCTTAGAAAAGGCAGAACTGTAACAGAACTGTACAGAACTGTACTAACAGAACTGTAGTCTCAGCTGAATAACATACGATAACCAGTCTCCACACCATGGGGACTGTAGGGTACTTTAAGTCATTTGTATGCCTTGCTTAATCCTGTCAAGGAATCCTTCATTGGCTAGATCCAAGGCTTTTAATTTCTGTGCTGTCTTAGACCATCATTGCTACTTCTAATTTTATACTAGATTAGATATTGCAAATCTTAGATACTCTCCAGAAGTTGTTTCTTCAGTGTTCCTGCCTCTACTAGCAATTGTAAATATTGAGAATTTGAAGGATTTGCCATTATGGTTAAGTGTTCTAAAGCTTTATTTAAAATCTTCCCATGTTGTCTCTAGTCTTAAGAAAAAAACATACATTTTTCTTGTCTCCTCAGCTCCCCCTGTCTCTGTTTTTAAATGAGCTGTTTACTTTTAGGCACACTGCAATGTTACCACAACACAGCTCCTGAATCCAGATCAAGTGTTGAATGAAATAATTGCTGTTCTTCCAATGAAAAATGTAGATTATATTCAGAAAGGGTAAGTAGTGCAATCTGACTTAAACTTATGCTTATCTAAATAGTTAGCACCCCAGTACAGAATTTAAGCTTGTGCTGCATTGCTTTTTGTAAAAAGATTCTATTCCACATAAAGAACATAACCTGCAAATGTATGCAATAAAAAAAATTGTCCAAAAAAAAGGAAATATTAACTGAACTCTACTAGAAATCATGGATTGGCAGACATTAACTATTAATAGCAAAGTAAATCGTAAAGGCTGATGTGAATTTTTTCTATCCCTTGTGAAAAAATAAATGCCAACAGCATGTCCAAATGCAATAACACAGTCAAACAAGACGACTCTGTGATACGATGCAGATGTCTGACCTTAACTAGCAGTTAAATAGTGATTCAGCAAGAAATTAGTACACTTTAAAACCTGCACAGAATTCACACCATTGTATAAGCCTTTGTTAAGCTGTCGAGTTTTCTAAGTGGACTAAGGCACCAAGACTGGATTTTATTCCTAATTCTGATCAAAATATAATTCCTTTCTTCCTGATTTTACAATGCTTCAAAAACTGCTGTGCATTTTACACTCAGGGGCATCTTCTAAAGTTCTAGATTTTGAGTGATAGATACTGTAGAAGATTCAATATATATTTCAACTTCTGATACTTTTCCAAGCTCAAAACCTGTGACTTAACTGCTCCAAAAGTGCTTCTCTGCATTGTAGTAATTCGTATTTCAGGATCATTTTTCTGCTATGCACATGAGCAAAAATGGACCTATAGCCAGGTTCCCATCACAGGTTCCTCAGAAGAGAGTTATCTTATGTAGTAAAAATACAAGATTATCTTGCCTTCAGGTTCTGAGAGATTCAGGATCAGTGGCTGGTGGTAGTTCTTATGGCTGGGAAGCCCTTTGGTATTACATGTTAATGTTTGGGTATAAAGATAATATTCTGGGTCTGAAATATCCAAAGGTCTGTCAGCTGCATTCTCAGTTGGTTCCCAGCGATCTATATGCCATTGGGGTGCTTTATGTAAACTGCTTTCATCCTTTATCCATTCAAACTTTCTTTGCAAAACAAATATGAAAAAATATCAGTTATTATTCTCTCTCTCCTTTTTTTTATATAGTTATACCCTGAAATGCCAAACACGGTCAGATTTTGGCAAAGTGACTATGGAATTTGACTTAGAAGTGTGCCAGCTCAGTAAATCTGAAGCAGTGGGTATCAGGAGACAACGGCTTAAAGGTGATGCTTGGGTCTACAAGAGACTAGTGGAGGACATCTTATCTAGCTGCAAAGTGTGACTTGCTGATGCCTGTGCTGGGAAAGCAGAAATTTTGTACTGCCTGAGATATCTGAGGTTTATTCTGAACATTTTTTTAAAAAATGTTGTAATAACTAATTCTTTGTCACATTCACAGCTATGTTAGACAAATCTGTCACTTTTACCTTTTTAATTACCCATCTTTGTATATGCGTTTTATTTGTTTTCTTTAAGAAATCTGTACCCCTTTTAAAATAAAATTCCGTAAACTGGTCTCCCCTCTCTTTTTTAATGTATGCAGATAAGAGTAATAGTGGTTCTATGATCAAACTTACTTTATGTCTTTAGGTATCAAGTACATGTTATTCAGAAAGTCATTTGCATAATTCTCCTCCTGTCTTTGCCTTAAGTAAGATTTATTGTGGTAACCACAGATGTGATTTAAACTATGTGCCCAATATGTTGTACAAAATAGGACTGGCTTCAATAAGTGTTACGTCAACGATACTAGTATTTAAACTGTTGAGCTATATAAAACATTATAATTCTTTAATGACCCTTCTGATGGTTAACAACTGTATGTACCTTTTGATGTGCTTGTATTAACTGACTGTGAGAATGTTATGTTAAGAATTCTAGCACCTTTGAACTGCCTTGAGTGAAAATAGTACTGAGAGCAAGATTTTAGCTGTTATTGGATACTATAAGTAAACCTTTGTGCAGAGCTACAAGGGTTAAGAGAAATATTAGAATTTTAGAGATTTAGGAAAATTAAATTTCCTTTTAAGAAAAAATAAATATGTCCCAGGTATTCCATGTTTATCCTGCAATAGGGTTTATGACCTTTAGTCTGACTAATGTACTTGAGTGGAAATGCCATGACTACTAATATCAGTGAGAAGGCAGACCTGTTGAAGTCTTTTCTATACAAACAGAACATGAAGAAAATAGTAACTCTGCCCAAACTACTATGATTAATGACAATGTGCAGCAGATTTTTTTAAGATATATATTAAAGCAGTTGTGGCACCTGTTATTGTTCCTTAACTAAAGGTAAGCATTCATCTCTTCAGGAGCTGAGTATTCTTGGAAGTTTCTGGCTATGGATCCTGAGATACAGGTGCTGATTGCAGCAATGCAGTTACTCTGCATTATCTCTTAATCAAATCCTTATACCTTTCTCTGTTATCAAACCTGTTACTGACAGAGGTAGAAGTATCTTAACTTTCTTTCCAGTGCCATGTGCTGCTCTTCACATAGATAATGAATGTGGGGCATCTGGATTTCAAGAAAAGGTCGAAGTGTTGATAAAGAAATGAAACATCTTCATTGTGAATACTTACAGCTTACAGGGGATACTTGACGGAAATAAGAATTCAAAGTTAGTGTTGTCAAAAGGCCTACTGTCCATTGTCCTAGAAAATTGTGTTTAAATGCAAACAACACTTAAATACTTACTGTACTTCGCAAGTTTAACTGCAAAAGTAGACTCTTGCTTGGATTTGAAGTTTTGACATTTGAGTCTGTTACATATTAGTTGAGGTATGCAAATGGGAGGAGTGATTGACTGAGGTGTTTTGATAATATAATATAGCTAATGACTAATGCAATATATGCATTAGAAACCAATATAAACTGAGCACAAGGTAGAAGTAGCTGAAAAATTGAAATATTTGCTTTTGTAGTTTAAGAGAATTAATTTTGCTCTCAGAAATTAGTACTAAGTATTTAGTGTTTAAAAACACATTCTCCGTCAATTCATACATTCTCACTAAGAGTAACAAGACTGTTATGAAAGGACAAACAGTAATTAAGATGTCTTGCTCTTTTTATTTTAAAAAGTGTGAGGTGACTATTTCAAGTTTCTGCTGTGCTCTGATGTGTGAAATAAGTTTTCTGTTCATAGATTACAATAATGTGTTTTTGATTTCGTTTGTTTTTGCTAATGTCTCATACATTTCCTATGTGTTGCAATATCAAATGCCCTCTGGAAGGAAGAATCAGTTCTGCTGTGTCTTGTTTAGAAAAAAAGAGCTTCTAAAGATGGACTGGTGAGCAAGTTTGTTTGTTTTGTCAAAACAGCATTTCATTTTAATATTGTATTAAGCAATAGATAGGAGAGAATTCTTCCCTTTTTAACCATACAGCCCATCTATGTGCATGTTTAATTTTCTTTCCACTGAATCTTGATGAAAAGATCTCTCTGCTTAAAAATGATTGCACAGCAAGTGTCTTTTCTAGAAAATATTCTCACTTTTTTAGAAGTATTTTCACTTTTCTCTGTCCCTTTCCCTCAGAACTTGTCCGACTGGGTGATTTTGCAGAAAGGCAAGCAGATATTCAGTTAGGAAGCCAGTGTAATAGGAAACAGATAAAAAGAAATTTCAAGTGGGCTATTTGTGTAATTTGAAGATGGAAATAATGTGGAAAAAAAGGGAAAATCAAACAATGTTAAAATATTAAAGCTAAAGAAGCTAATGATTGAGTCTAGAATGAGACTTGCCATAAAAATAAAACAAATACACAGCACAAACTTGTTTTCTAAATTTAATTAGGGCTAGATTAATTATCTGTCATTTGTTTTATTTAACTAGTCAATGTATTAGCCCAAGGGAGTTAATGTGCTGATAAAAAAGTAAAACTTATCAAACGTCTAGGCGCCACCCCAGTAGTGTCTACACAATGCAGTTTAAGTCATCATAGAATATTTGAGAGTGGTTGCCAAATGTTAAAGCTTTAATCCTTGGGAGGCTGAGAAAGCTGTGACTCTTCAGCTTGGAGAAAGTTCCTACAGGCTTTTATAAATATTTGATGGAGGGAGTAAAGAAAACATGGCCAGACTCTTCTCAATAGCAGCAAGTGAACTATTAGCGATGGGCACAAGTTAAAAGCACAAGCACTCACACTTTTTCACACTGAGCATGGTCAAGCATAAGAACAATATATTAGAGATATGGTAGCATCCCCACCCTTGGAGATAGTCAAAACCTGACTAGAGATGGTTCTCGTCAACCTGTCCTAGCTGGTCCTTCTCTGGACAGGTGGACTGGGTAATCTTCACAGGAGATTACCTCAATATTTTGTTACTTTTTGAAATCCAAAGTACAGTTCTGGTGAGTGATGCAGGTATGAATTACTATCTTGATATTTATTAAAATTAACTTTGACTTCCAGGGCAGCATAGTTTCACTCCAGGATCTTAAGCCCCCAGGATCTTAAGTTTCTTCTACAGAAACCATCCAGTTCCACTCCAAGACTAATTTTGCAGTAGAATCATAGAATGCTTAAGGTTGGCAGGAACCTCTAGAGATCATCTAGTCCAACCCCCCTGCACATGCAGGGTCACCTAGAGCACGTGGCACAGGGTGGCATCCAAGTGGGTTTTGAAGATCTCCAGAGAAGGAGACTCCACAACCTCTCTGGGCAGACTGTTCCAGTGCTCCTTCACCCTCACTGGGAAGAAATTTTTCCTTAAGTAGTGTAATCTTTTTTTGTGTGTGTGTGTGGGAGGTCTATATATTTCACTAAAATTTAACAAACTGACTCAGTAAAAAAAGTATTCTGTTCATCTCTGAGAGCATTTTCTGCAGTGGTTAAATCCATAACTAATCTAATTTGGCATAAATCAGGACTTTTGGATAGACCATATCAACTTATTTTACATTTTCTAGGGGAAGAAGAATAGAGTGTACAATTTTACCTTCTACTTGAGCATATGCAACATCATTTTACACAGGATTTTTTTTGCAGCTGAAAAATTAATCAGGCAGACATATCTATTTGTTTTTATCAGTCAGCTCTGACAAAATGATGTAGAATCAGACACCCTGTGAACTGTTTCCTTGGTTTAATATTAGGGCTGTGCTTCATTAGAGAATGTAGAATAATCCACTGTCATTTTCAGTTTTATCGTATTAGTTTTTTTGGCAGAAAATTTATTCAGTCTCCAATATACAGTTATTTATGTGCTACAGAATAGCTTCTTTGCATTCCCTAGAGAAAGGTCCATTAAAACTCTTAATGTGACACCACATATTTTTAGTAGACTAGAAAATAGTTACAATTTTAATTTAAATTGAAATGACTATGTAATGGCTGGACAAATCATCCTGAGATCCCTAGAGCTCTTAATTGTAATTCTCTATTGTTTCTATGCATAAATTTTCTTTTCAAGTGCTTGTTCTGAAATACTTACTAATTTTTTTTAATGTCCTATACTCACTTATTTTTCTATGCTTAACAACTTCATGATTAAAGTTAATGTTAAATATAAATGGTGGAAAAATAAGCCTGTTCAAGTGTTGGGAAAATAAAATATGTTTGTATTTTAAGATGAGCTTAATTTAAGGAACTTCTTATTCTTTTTGTGTAAGGAAAGGAAAGAAAAGCAATCTTACTGAGAATAATACACAAATTTCAGTGTGTTACCATAACAGAAGTAATAATAGATGCTATAACAAGCAGCTTTTCTTTGGCTGTCAATTTCATATAGTAAAAAGTCATTAAATAGAAAAACCTCACCCAACATCCCCCTTCAAAAAAAAGAAAAAAAATAGTTTCTTGTTATCTTCCCATTCTGATCTGATTTTGTAAAAAATCTCAAATATTGTAAACTATTACTGACACATTTTTCATTACTGTCTGCTTGCTTGATACGTAGGTTCTCCTGCTTTGCTTGTCCTGCTTTGTTTTAGGAGAATAACTCCCGATCCTCTCCAGGCAAGGCAATCTGGACATATCTTATTATGCCAGTTAACTCATTTGATTTGGCTGGTGTCATCTCACAAGATACCTATGAACTTCTCAGCAGGAAAAAGGGACTGAGTAGGGAAATCTTTTCCCATCAGGGAAACTAAATCACAACAACAGAATTACAGAATAGTTGTAATTGGAAGGGACATCCAGAGATCATCCAGTACAACACTCCTCCACCCCTAACAGGGATACTTAAAACATGTTGCACAGGGTGGCATCCAGGTGGGTTTGGAAGACCTCCAGAGAAGGAGACTCCACAGCCTCTCTGAGCAACTTCTTCCAGTGCTCCTTCACCCTTGCAGTCAACACGTTTTTCCTCAAATTCAGGTGAAACT